TGAGGAGACGAGAATATGAAATTAGTAGTTGGGAGCACAAAGGCAGCTGCAAGTGTCCAGAGGTGACACTCAGATCCGAAACTTTATGCTCCGAGTATCAGTACAAGACACAAAGCTCCTTACCCGACATATTTAACTTTGCTGCCTAGGAAAATACTTAATATTTAATCTAAGCGTTTTTGTAACCACTTTAAGATCTCTTTACTCCCCTCCCCTTCAGGACACAGTAAGAGCATTAGAGCTACTTAGAGGACTTCTTTGCCTAAACCACAAATGGCATATATAATTGCATAAACACTGAACTCAAAAGCATGTTGTGTGCATAAGTGCAAACTTAACTGTACATTTCCACACCAAAGTGTAATCTCTACACACACATACACACACACACAGCCACCATCACATAAGTGGACCTAAAGGTGAGAGATTACTTAGAGGATGTGTCGAGGCTCACTTTGATGAAGACCGCCGACGCCGCCGCTGCCACCTTTAAAGTCTTTTGTGGGCAGGGAAAGTGGTCACAACTTCAAAAACGTCTGTGCGTGTGTATATGTGAGGGATCCCCAGAAACTTGGAGCTTTAGCACTTCGTCATACTTAGCTATTTGGAGATAAGCTACTCAGTTTGAGTTTATTTTTCTTTCACTGGCACTCTGCGCTTGAGAGCCACTTCATTCACGCCAAAAAAGGAAGAAGAAGAAGAGATTTCAAAGAAAAGCCGCCACATTCGCCAACATAGAAACATACGTGTACACACACACATGCCCTCTTTAGTATTAGATACTCCACATACTCCACAGCTAGTGTTGTTGTGCATCCTTTTTGAGATTTGCATGCATAAGTATACATACATATATATTTGCATATATACACACACTTGCAAGTATGTATGTATGTATTTCTGTTTATATGAACTTTTAACTCTCTCTTCTCTTCCATTCATCTCGTCGAGCCAACGACTTGAGTGTCCTTATTTATTTAATATACCACAATAACGGTAAAATGTGCAACAAACAGTTAAACAACACAATTAAGCGACACTTAAGATATACATACATGCTTACATTATTACAAAAGGCAAGCGGCATGCGCACACACACACACATACAAATACACAAAAATATGCATATCCGTATGCACTTGGCATAAGCGTAAGTGCATAAGTACATTAGAAATGCCACTCGAAAATGTCTTAAGACGTTTTATAGACGCTTTGAAGTTTCGGCGGTCAGATTTAAAATAATTATTCAGAAGGAGTCTAATAGTGGCTATGAAAAGCGCTTTTACAAATTAATTAACTAAAATTAAAATTTAATTTAACTTTTCTTCATTTTATTTTATTTTATTGTTTTATTTTATTTTTTTATTTTATTTTTTGTTTTTATTTTAAATTATTTTAATTAATCTGATTTTATTTTATTTTATTTTATTTTTAATTTAATCCATATTATTTTTTCTAATCTATTTGAAATAATTTTAATTAATTTGTTTATGTTCTAACTATTTGGTTTTATTTTATTTATTTCATTTCATTTCGTTTTATTTTATTTTATTATTTTTTCGTATCACTTGTTTTGCTTTATTTTGTTTTAATTTATTAATTTTTTTATTTTATTTAATTTAATTAACATAATTTAATTTTTTTAAATACATTTTTTTATTCTTTTTAATTTTTTTTCTTTTTCATTTTGTTTTACTTTAATTTTATGTTATTTTATTTTTATTAATTAATTTTATTTAATTTCTTTCTTATTTCTTTTTTGTGTAATTTTACTTAATGCGGTTTTATTTCATTTAATTTAACTTTAACTTATTAAATTTTTATTGTTTTTTATTTCATATTAATTTTTTATTTTACTTTTTTGATTTTGTTTTACTTAATTTTATTTGATTTGCTTTTACCTTTTTTCTTTTATTTGATTTTGTTTTTTTTTTATTGTTTTCTTTTTGTTTATATTATTTTATTTTATTTATTTCCATTTTTTTCTTTTATCTTATTTTATTTCGTTTTAATTTTTTGCTTTATTTTTATTTTTTATTTTATTTAGGTTTTTTTTTTTATTTTGTTTTACTTTAAATTTATGTAATTTCTTTTTTTTTTAATTTTTATTTTTATTTGAGCAAATTTGTTTTCATTTGAGTTAATTTATTTTTATTTGATACGATTTAATTTCATTTTTAATATTTTTTATTACATTTAATATTATTTTATTCATTTTATTTATATTATATTATTTCGTTTTGTTTTATTCTACTTTTATTTGTATTTACTTTAATTTGATGTTATTTTATTTTAGTTGCTTTTAATAAATGTTTTTTAATTCTATTTGTATATAATTATATTTGCTGCGATTTCATTTATGTATTTCATTTAATTTAACTTTAATTTATTAAATTTTTAATTAATTTAATTGTTATTTCATATTTATTTTTAATTTTACTTTTCTTATTTTGTTTTACTTTAATTTTATATTATTTGCTTTTACTATTTCTTTTTTCTTTTATTTTTTTTTTATTATTACTTTATTTTTGTTCATATTATTTTATTTTATTTTATTTTTATTTATTTTTTTTGAGTTTATTTGTTTTTATTTGATACGATTTTATTAATTTTTTTATTTTTTTTTTTCTGTTATTTTATTTTTTTTGTTTACATTTAGCTTATTTTATTTTTTATTTCATTTTATATTTTTCTCAGTCTTATTTTTTAATTTTAATCTATTTTATTTTATTATTTAATTTATTTCACCTTATTTTATGTATTCACTTTTATTTTATTTTATTCGAAAAATTTTATTTACTCTGCTCTATTTCATTTAATTTAATTTGTTTTTTTAATTTTATATTGTTTTCATTTCTTTTATTCTTTTACTTTATTTTACTTCATTTCAATTAAAGATAATTTACTTTTAGGGCAATTTCCCATGCCATTTCTTGCATTTTCTTACTTACACAAACTCCTTCCATGCATTTACATAGCCGCATTTTGAGCGCCATCTGTCCTCATTTTATTGCACTAACACATTACTTTACACTTGGTCAGCGTCTTATCGTCCGCGCGCCATCTTGCGTTGAAATGTGGCAAAGAAATCAACCGCAACTTATCTGCTTGGGTTGAGTAGTGTGGTGGTGGAACAGTGAGTGAAATAGCAATGACGAAAGGGACACACAAGCAAACGAAACTAAAGCCAACTGAGTAAGTTAACTGTTTGCTTAGAATTCACACTCTAAAATGAGTACTTTTGGTCTAGCGATTTTAATTCTTCCCATTGCATCATCGGAACTTCTAGCTGAGTCAAGGTAACTATTGAAATTTAATAACAATGTGATAATAAACTATTTATTTAATTATAATAAAATTTTCATTATCTGCAAAACACACGGACAACGGCCATGAATGAATAATAATTCAAAATTTGAAGAAAAAAGCTCAGGTGAAGGTAAGAAATTGACAGCAGGAAGAACCAAGCTCTCCGAAATTGGTAAAAGGGGGTTGTCCTAGAACGAAGTCTGCCACTCCAAAGGAAACATTGGCTTTACATAAGTTTACTATAATCCACAATAACGTATGGAGAGCTAGCTCGAGTGCCACTACAACAACAGCAAACTCCCTGCAACCTTTCCAACATAAAAAGTAGTTTCAATGACTTCCACTCTCTCTTCCAAAAAAAAATAAAAACTAAGATATTTTTTAGAAAGCCAAGCAACATTTGAGCAAGTCTAAACGCGAGAGAACATGTAACAGCTTTAGCGGGCTGACCTATACATTTCTTGGGGACTATCTCCATTAACTGCTTCAGACCTTTCAGCTGCTTCAAATGTTGTCTATAAAAGTAGAGCATGAAAGAATACTGCAAATCAAAGATGCAAAATGTACAGTGTGCACAGAGGAGGAAGCAGCACTAGACATTACCTTTGCGAGTGTCTCGCTTTCAGTCGATTGAGACATTAACCTTTTATGGTCCTTCAAGCTTAAACCTTGCGGAAAAGCTATTTCTGACATAAACTAAAAACTCTTCACGAAAATCCTTTAATTTCCTGAAAAAAAAAAACATCAGGGCGCTCATATCAAATTGATGGAAGAAAACGGCTGAAAATCGCTTTCAGTGGTTACAAAGCGCCAGTTATATATACTTATTAGACTTCTCGCGAAAATACATTTCAAAATCTGAAGATAAATTGATTTGTAAGAACTAAGACAAGCGTTACATACCTCTGGCTTACTGATTTTTTCAAGTGGGGGTTTAAATACAAAAGATATTTATGTACATACATATATACTACATACATCAGAAAACACATATATGTATATATTTATATAAATAGCTAATCCATGTCAAAAAGAGTGAACAGAGCAAGAGAGATTGATAAATTGAAAGGCAAAAAGTGGGAGAGCTGACCAAAAGTTTAGCCCGGAAGCAATTTGATAAGAAAGAATGTAAAATGTTGCGTACGCCAAGATAACGCGATCAATTCTCAGAATAGTAAAATTGTTGATGACACAATCAACTACAAGTATTTTTGTCTTCACGTTTTTATGGTTTAATTTACCCTGTTTGGGTTGAGTATGAGATAAAGAGAGTGAATTTTAAACGGTGGAGAACGTTAAGGTCGCGATTCTACAAATTGTGGGCAATGAGAATGGAGTAGACACGGAGGGGACCTCCACCAGACTGCAGAAACTGAGTTAAGTAAACATTAAGTAATATGCCTTTAATTATTTATGGGGAAGTACATGCAATCACTATTTTTGCTTTAAAGCTTTTATCGAACCCACGGCTCTCATGGCCTATATATACAAACCATACATATGTATATTATACGACCACTTCTGTTAATTCTTGTTAATAGAGTTGCCGATCTGTTGGACCCTCAACATGTTTATTAACATATGAATTTAACTATGTATGTACAGATATCTAATCACCGCCTTATCTTGACCGTCATTTCTTATCAATCGCTGCACTTCAATTGCATTTCAATACCGCAATTAGCCAATTTAGTGCAAAATTAAACGCGAAAGAGTGCAGTGCGCCTATTGGCATAAGGAAAAGTAAAAAAATAAAAATAATTGAAAAAAATTGAAATTAAATAAAAGAATAAAATAAAACTAAACCAAACTTAATAGCAACAAAAATAAATAAAAATAAATAAAATTGCATAAAATGAAATTAAAGATTTAAAAAATAAAATATTATACTTAATTAAAATTAAATTAAATTAAATAAAACAGAATAGTATAAAGTGATTTAATGTAAAATATATTTAATTTAAGAAGTTCTAGAAAAAGTTCTAGAAAACGGTTTTAAACTACAATTAGGTAATAATAAAAATGTATAATTTAAAATCGATCTAAACAAGTCAAATTTATTTTATTTTGTTGTTTTTTTTTTATTTACATAATTTTATTATCACTGAACTTTATTTTAAACCACTTTATTTTAGCTAAATTGAATAAAGTAATTATTTTTAAGCAAATAAAGTTAAACTATATTAAAATAATTGTAAAATCGTTAAAGCATTAAAAATAAAATAATAAAAATTGAAACAAAATTTAAGAAATTAGAAAAACTAAAATTAAATACATATAAAATAAAATAAATGAAAGAATATTAAATAAATTAAATAAAAAATAATCTAAATATATTAATGTTTGATTTACATATTTTATAAATTGAAATTAAAAAACAATTAATTAAAATAATATAAAATAAAAAGGACTAAAAAAATTAAATTAATTTATCATATTGTAAAAAAAATTGTACATAAATAATTTAAATTAAGTAACACTTACTAAAATATATAAAATTATTAGATAAATTAAAAAAAAAAATTTTTAAATTAAATAAAAATTTATTCTTAATCTACAAATCATATAAAACTAATTTATACAACATTAAAAAGAAAATAGTTAAATAAAGCTAGCTTGAAATTAAAAAAATTGTTTTAAAATAAAAAAAAATAATGGCAATAAAAAAATAAATTTATATATGAATTTAGACTAAATTAAAATGAAATGAAGGAAAACAAATAAAATATATTAAAAAATATAAATAAAAAATTAATTTAAATTAAATGACACTAAATTAAAATAGAATTTTATTAATACAAATCAAATAATCACTAAATAAATATTGATATAAACTAAATTATCATTATATAAAATATAAAAATAAAAATGTTATTAAAATTAAACAAAGCCATGAAAAACTAACTAAATAAATTAAATATATTACATACATTTATACAACTAAAAATTTAAAAAAAATATAAGAAATATTCAATTCATAAAAGCAACAAGACAATACTTATATCAAAAAATTAATATATAGCATAGCCGCAAAAAAAAAATAATAAAAATTTGAAATTAAATATAAATTTAAAATTATTCTACAAAATCAAGATTAATTTATATACAATTAAATTATTCATTTAAATTTAATAATGAAATTAAAATTAATTTATATAGTAAAAAGTAAAATAAAACATATTCAAAAAGTTTAACTAAAATGAATTATACTAAAAGAAATTAAAATATCATACAAATAAAATAACGCAAAAATATTAATTTAAGTAAATAAAAAAAGGAGAATAATAAACATTATTGATTATATAAAATTTAAATTAATTGGTTTAAATTTAATGTAATTGATTTATCAAAATTAAATAGAATAAATATGATAATAAAAATTTATTAAAATAAAATAGAATTAAATTACAATAACGTAATAAAAATAAAATTAAATAAATAAAAAATAGGAGAATATTAAAATAAATTTAATTATCATAAATTAGATAAATTAAATGAATTAAAAAAAAAGTAAATTAAAAAAATGGATTAAAAATATTTTAATTAAGTTACCATAATTAAATTGAATATATATGAAAATAGAAACAAATTATATTAAATTCAATTAATAAATAATTAAATTACTTTAGGGTAATTAAAATAAAATTAAATAAATAAAAAGTAGGATAAAATCAGAGTAAATTAAATTAAGTTGTTACAAAATAGATAAAATTAGAATCGAAAGAAATTAATTAAAATTAAATTAAATAAATATAAAAAAAAAATAAAATAAATCAAATTAATTTACATTAGAATATAAAAAAATGCTTAAACGTGAACAAATTTAAATTAAATTAGAACTTAATTAAATAATAATAATTCCTAAACTATAAACAAATAATTGGATTAAAATGAATTAAAAAAAAATAAATAAAATTAAATTTAATTTAATAGAAATTATATTAATTTAGTTAACAAAAAATATAAATAAATAAATTAAAAATTAAGAGATATATATTAAAAAAATTAGATGAAATTATGTTAAAATGTCAGGAAATGAAATAAATTAAGACAAAAATTAATTTAAAATAAACAAAATTTTAATTAATTATTTCAACTAAAAAAGCTATAAATTAAATTACATAAAACCAACATTTGGAAAAAATTTTAAGGAAATTTTTTTTTTCTTAAATTAATTAATTAAGACAAATTTGAATGGAAATTTCTTTTTCTGCATAGCTGCTTTGGCGGGATCACGCTTACGATTCGTTTAAATAACATTTTTTTTAACAAAATATTAAGTTTACACAAAATGGGTTCATCCTGCTCGAGAAAAGATGATGAGCCAGCCAATGTGAATGTTGCGCTCGGTACCGTTGGCAGTGGTTACACATACAACGACAGCAATAGTTGTTTATTGGCGGTGCAATTTGAGAGTGAGGTTAGTATATAAGACGTTGTCTATCTTCCTCAAACTTGGCAAAACACACTTCTGCTCAAAGGAGGATATGAGGCTATTCTTCTTCTTCTTTATTGGCATATGCAAAGCTTCTTTTGAGTTAGCAATAGCCGCGCCAAGTGCAGCCAAGTCCTCCACTGCTTGATCTTTCCAAAAGGACGAAGATCTTCATCTTCCTCTGCTTCGATGTAATAACTTGTTAGCCTCTGCTTGGCAAGCGCTGTCCTCATGAGGGTATCTAGTTTAGTCAATCTCGTTTTTCAAGTAATTTGATCTGACTTCTTGCAGGAAGAAGAGACTTAATTAATATGTTTAGTAATACCGACTAGTTCCATTTATGAATGGATTGCTTGCCCTCAGCCCAAAAATGCTCATAATACGATCAATAGTAAAACTTCAATGAAATCTGATAAAACTGCTCTAGCCACCCTTATGGAACTGCCTGAACTCTTTTATTATACCCTCACTCTCTTTCGTCATCCACAGAGAACCATAAAAGTTCTAAAATACCATAGTGCAAAGGATGATTGGACCATCTGTCATGAGATACTCAACAAAGGTCTCTATCGTACGGCGATTGTCAAGCAATATCTACTCTTCCACGATTGGTCGAATGGCGTACGTGTTTGTTGTTATGATACAACAACACGTGCGCTACGCACTTTGATGCCACTCAAAGTCAGACAACCGTATTGGAGTTGTTATTGTGCAACGGAATTTCAAAATCTTCTTTACTTCATTGGTGCCGATACCGAGGATACTCGTAAAGTCTATGCGTAAGTTTGTCGAGAATCAGCGTTGATTTCTAAATAAATAAAAAATTTTCATTTTCATTTTTTTCATAGTTGGGATCCGGAACACGATGCGCTGAGCAATGTGCCCAAATTGAATATTGGACGGACGAGAGCTACGGCTGTGAAGCATGAGGGCTGCTTGTATGTGGTCGGCGGCATGATAACTAGCTTAGACGACATCAGCGATACGCAAGACATAGCCTCGGTTGAGCGGTACAATCCAAGACGGAATTGTTGGGAACGCTGTGCTAGTTTGCTGCAAGCACGTTGTGTTTCGGGGGTGAGTGTGTTAAAGTGGTTGAGGGGTGTGAGGTTCAGCGCGAACCTTTCCACAGTTGAAATTTAAGGCAATGATATTTTCTAAATTAAAATATATATTTTTTTAAATTTTTTTCTTCTTTGATCTCTTTTCATTTTCCTTCCATAGTTGGGCTCCGCCGGACATTTTATTTATGTCGTAGGTGGCGATTGTGTGGGAACACCAACAAATATGGTTGAGAGATACGACTCGAGAATCAATAAATGGACGCAGGTTAGTAGGTAAAAGAGAGAGAGAGAAAGAGAGAGAGAGAAAGAGAGAGAGAGAAAGAGAGAGAGAGAAAGAGAGAGAGAGAGAGAGAGATAGAAAGAGAGAAAGAGAGAAAGAGACAGAGAAAGAAAAAGAGAGAGAAAGAGATAGAGTAAACCACTTTTATTAGTATTCAAAACTTTTTTCACTTAGAATTTTCCAAAAAATGTTGCTTTAGCCTTTTTTTTAATTTGTTTCATGTTATTTTTTTGCTTTTCTTTGGTTTAATTTATTTTGAACTTTTAATTTGGAATTTTTTCTATTATATTTATTTTATTTCTTTATAATTTTTAATTAAGTACCATTTTATTCATCATTAATTTTACTAATTTTTTAAGTGTTTTAATTTTCTATATAATTATTTAAATCTTAACTTTTTTTTAATAAATTTTTTTTCTTTTTTATTTTGTGATTATCTTAATTTTTAAGTTATTTCTTTAAACCTATTGCCTTTAAAGTGTATAAAATTTATTCCCTAAGGCCTTTTTATATATTCTTTTATTTTATAAAAAAATTTAAAATTTTTTTTATATCTTATATATCTTTTAATACTTTTTTGAGTTTTTAATTTCTTAATTTTTTATTATTTTTATTTTTGTATTTTTACATTTTTGAATTGGTTTTTATTTTAATTTTATTTGGCACTTTTTTACTGATTTACTCCTCTAAATATATTGTACATTAATTCTTCATTTCCAATTCTTTTCAACATTTTGACTTTTCAAAAATTTATGAAAATTTTTTCTTAGGGGAATCCTTCCAATTTTTAATTTAATTTAATTAAATCTTAAAATTTAATATTTTCGTTCAAATCAAATATTTTTTATTTAAATTTTACATTTTTAAATTCTTTTTTTTTTTTGCAAAATATTAATATTAAGCTTTTAATTTTTTATTTTATTTTGTGTTTTATATGTATTGGTATTTATTTCATTTTAATTATTTTTTTTAATTCTTTTCGGTAATTTTGAAATTTTTTTAAATATTTTTTGTCATAATTTTTTTTCTTAATATTATACTCTATATTATTTATACTAGACATATATTATTATTTTATACCATATATTATTAAATACTTTATATTATTACTATGTCTTAACTCTTTTAAATATTTTACTTAATAAAACATTATAAAACTTTATAATCATTTATTTTTTTTATTTTTTTGAACTTTTGTTGTTTTCAATCTTTTATACTCTTATATTTTTTATTTTTATTTATTTTTCGATGTTATTTTTATCCTCAGATAACCGTAATGCAAGTTCCAAAAGTTTTCCCCGCCACTGTATACTTCAATAACCGTCTCATAGTTTGCGGCAACTCTAGCAATGACGAGGATTGCTCAATTGTTGAGGAATTCGATGAGAAGACCAACAAATGGAGTATAAAAAATAAAATGCCTCTACCGGGACCTTTCTCGTATGTGGTGACAAATCCCGAGTGGTTGAGGCAGTTGGAGGCGTTGAATTAGAGAAAACTAGAATTATAGGAAGTGAAGAAGAGAATTTATTATTATTATATGAAAAATTTATTACATTCGTATATATTATATAATCATTTTTTATATTAAAAATATTATTTTTTGATAAAAAAATAACAAATACGGAATAAAGTAAATCATATACTAAATAAACAAATAAATATAATATATAATATGTTAGGTTAGGTCTGGTAAAAGCGATTTCTCACACAAAGCTACAAGAGTAAGCTTATCCTAAACTTTAAGACTACTTTTGCGTTCAGTGAGTTTCCATATCCATGTCTTGTTCATGTCCGTGAGGTGCTAGACTTGCGCTTACTGAGTTGATCAATGTCCTGCTGTCCAGAAGCATAATATTAACATTGCTTGTTTTACAGAAACTTCACTACACTTCGAAGCAATCTTAACCACTTCTTTGACGACATTTACTTCTTGCAATAATGTGGAAGCATAAACCCTCCCCCTTTGGATCGTTCTCGACCGAAAACTCCCCAACCTACCTTTCTGTCTCGCTTCAGCCCATACGTAAAGAAGTTAAGTGCTTCTATTATTCCGTGGCTCTGCCCCCTGTTATCGTTGTGGGGAGGAATATGCAGTTGCAATTCTACTCTATGGAAGTTCTGGCTTACTGGGATTAATGAAAAAATCTGTTCTGACCGCCCAACTCAGAACCCAGACGTACGTTTCCCACCCTGTTCCAATAGATCTATCTAATATAAGGTTAAGACTCTACCAAGGGGAGCGATTTTAAAAAATAAAGCCCTTCAATGTCGAAGAAACAACACAAAAAGGCCTTGTAATGGAGGATTTCTTCTAAACATATTGCTAAAGCTGGTAAAACAGTGCTCACCGATCCGAGCACTATGCCAGTCAGTCAGCGCTTATGGGTTTTTCAACACTAAGAAGGACAGACTTATTGGTTGGAAATCTTTAGGAATCACAAACAAACTTCTCCCTGTCCTCAGAATGAAAAGTGGAGAAACCTTTTCTTTGACTCTTCACTGTTCAAATTTCAATTTCCCGCTTCATTCATTGGTTTCCTAAAGTAGTTGGGATCTGCGTTGGAAATCGTCTGAGGGCTCATAACATTCTTTTAAGATTCGCCAGAATCGATCCTCTATTGCGATACTGATCCTGGATTTAGCCACTTTTTGTAGAAACCCCTAATACTATCGATTCGGACAACTCTGCCGTACACCAAAGGGATTTCCTTCTGTCCTTCGTCGTTTCCAAAGGTCAAGGGTTGCCAAGCGTTTTTCTACGGGCGCAGCTGAAAACTTCGAAAAAGTCATCTGGAGCTTTGGAACAGAGAATGAAGGTCTTCACTCCAGAAGATGCAAGTCTTCATCGCATTCAAAAATTATCCTGACTTTCATTAAAGCGAAATATTGTAAAATAAATAAAATATATAATAAAACTAATTAATTCATTTTATATAGTAATATAAAATAATTTGAAATCAGATAAATTTAAATTAAGTATTAAAATAATATAAAGTAAAATAAATAATATAAAAAATAAATTGTAAAACTTTAATAAAAATATATATATTAAATTAAAATAAAATAACATGAAATAAAAATAAATTAATATTAAAGAATAAAATAAATTTAATAAGTTAATAAAATTAAGTTCAATTAAGTTTAATTTTATAAAACAAAATTAAATTATATTAAATTTTATGTTACAATATAATTAGTTGAAGTAATTAAATTAAAAAAAGTGATTCAAATAAAATAAATTAAATAATATAAAAAGAAAATAAAAGAAATTGAATGCAATAAAAATAAATAATATTATACAAAACTTAATTTAATTAATAAATAAATTAAATTAAATATGTAAAAACAGTTGAATAATTAAATTTATATAAAGCGTATTAAATTATATAAAAAGAAAATAAAATAAGAGAAATTAAATGCAAAAAAAATAAATGATATTAAACAAAAATAAATTTAATTAAATTTCAATATAAAAAAACAGTAAAAGAATTAATTTTAAATTAAATGCAATAAAAATTAATAATATTAAACAAAAATAAATTTAATTAAATTTAAATATGTAAAAACAGTTGAACAATTAAATTAAAAAAAAGCGTTATATTGTAATTAAAATTAAGTAAATAATATGAAATATATAATTCAGAAAATTTAAAATAAAATATAAAGTTAAATTCAGTTAAATGAATCCAAATTAAACAAAATTAATTTTATTGAAATAAATCAAATAAAATATAATAACTTAATGCAAACTGAAATAACATAAATATAAAACTGAAATTAATTAAAATAAATTAAATTAAATAATGTAAATATAATTAAATTAAATTAAGTTAAGTAAAATTAATTAAAATTAAACTTGAAAATAAAAACATAATGGATGTAATTAAATTAAAATAAGATTAAGATTAAATTAGATAAAAAAAATCAAATAGAATGGAACTACAATAAATTAAATAAAAAAAATTAAATTTAATAAAATACAAAATACACAATATTAAATTATTGAAATATGTTATAAAAATAAAATAACATTAAATTAAACAAAATTTGTAAATTAAGAAAAAATTAAAATTAATTTAAATTAAATTAAAAAAATTTAATTAAAGGAAATCAAATTAACGGAGGAACCTGGTTTAGAACGCTGAAAATTGCATGATATTCGGCACAGTGTTTTAGGTTGCCTCAAGTATGAAATGTTTCAAGTACTTTAGAAATAGGTCATAGATACACAAATCTTGCAAAATAAAATTACTTTCACTTTATTTGATACTGTTAAGCAATAACAATTCGTATTTGTTTGTGGCACTTCTCGCTAAACGACGACGACGGAACATATAAACGACTACTTTTTTTTTGCTCTTCTATGTGAACCTAAGGTATTCGAAGAAATGTATAAAATTTTTTATTTTATGACTGTTTATAAAAAATTTTGCGTTTTTCTGAAGAAATTTGAAGAAAATTTATTTTTCAACACATGAAAGTTGAAAGTTTTTAAGATTTAAATTTTAAATTCTCTTTTAATACACAGCCAATTTTCAATTTTAACACATTTCACGAAAATCGCTTTATTTTCAAATTCAATTCGTTTTTACTCACCTTTTTGATGCGAAATGAATTTTTGAGTAACGAAAACTAAACAAAAACAAAAAAAAACGAAAAACTGCGCAGGTAACAACGCTTTGGCCAAAAACTCTTCTGTTGCGCCTTTAACTAAAATCCACATGCTACACTACATTACACAGCAGCAGCAGCAGCAGCGATAACAACAACATTTGATGAATAATGTAATATGTGCATGTATGCGGTTATATATATATGGATATATATGTGTGTGTGTGTATGTTACAATGTTTTCAAACGGTGCTTTTGTTTCATTGCCGTGTTGCATGAAATAAAAACTTACAATAAAAGCTTTGCGATAAAAAAGTGCCGCATGCATTGAAAAACCAAAGCAAACACACACATATAAACACACACACACGCATACATAACTACATATAATATATTTTATACTGTGTGATGAAATACAAACCTGTATGTTTTGTATGTATGAAACTGTGTTTTGTTTTGTTTTTGCTTTTTTGACCGATTAAAACGCTTCCAGGCAATTTGGCATTGAACAAAACCAATCGCCGGCAACATGATGAAATATGAACGAAAATATTGTGGTGAGTAGATGAGGAAGAGGCGGAGAGGGGGAAGCAGGAGAGAAGGGAGAATGAAAAGTGTTGCCAGACTGTCGAAAGTAGTACGAAATAAGTCTAACAACAGACAAACGAAACAGAAAGCAGCCAGTGTTGCAAAAGCTTCTTGGAGAAATTGGCCCGGGTGGTCGGGAAAATGAGAAATAATTCCGTGGGTTTATGTAAGTTAACCATAATAAGCATGGACCCTACTAAGAATTCGGTTTGGGTATACTTTTTCTCACGCTGACTGCCTGTTTGAAACTCTCTGAAGAGAGCTCACTAAGCCAAGGGGAGAGCTACTACCAAACTCGACTCCCTCTCTCTCCTAATATAAGTTCTTTCCACGTATCACAATAGTCGCTTATCGTAGCTCACAGTTTTGTTGGGATCCGACTCCAGCTTCGAAATTCCTTTTGTATTTAATCACAAGACCGGGAAATTTATAGGGATACTAAAGCGTCTGAACAAAAGATATGTGGGAATTTTATATACAATACATCCTTGAAACTCATAGAGAATATTTAAGTGTACTATCCCACGTGGAACTATCACATGGGACCTACTGCTTCTGTGCAAAACTCATTTCGAAACTCCTTACATCTTTGGAACTCAGAGAGAACCCCTGTTTTTGAGCAAAATTCAACTCAGAACTTTTTACATTCTTTAAACTCCTACGGGAGGCTGCTGTTTCCGAGCAATACTCAAATCATATTTCCTTGCATACATCCTTAGAACTTAAAGAGAGGCAGTTGTTTTTGGGCAAAATTCAGCTGGGAATCTTGGTATCCTTGAAACTAATAAAGGTATTTTGCCACTTCCCATGAGGAAACTTATTATACCCGTGGAACTCAGAGAGGGATCGCTGGTTTTGTACAAAGTTCATACAAGAACATTTTACGTCCTTGAAACTCGCAGAAAAACTGGTATTTCTGAGATAAATACAGCTGAGAGCTTTTTACATCCTGGAAACTCAGAGAAAGACTGTTTATTTTGATCAAAAAATAAACTCCGAACTCCTTACATCCTTGGAACTCACAGACGAGTTGCTGGCTCAGGGCGAAATGCAAGTGGGGGCTCCATACATCCTTAAAATTCACAGTGGACTATTATTTATGCTCGAAATTCAACTGGAAAAGCTCGCTGTCTTGCAATATCAAGAATATATTTATAGAAAAGATCCCCTGCAGTCGATATCAGGCTTAAGTTAGACTTATTTTCGGATGTATATGGTGGAACTATTTATTCACGGTTTTTCGAAAACACGTCTAAAATTTGGTATATACCAGAGAACATTTCTTTTGAAGATTTTATAGGCAAATCTCTACTGAATGATGTTTGTAATACCTCAAAGAAGTGTTCTACACGTC